GTAATCAGACTGGATTCAAACGATACAGGACATTCCCATAGGATAGACACATAAATGAGGAAGAGTCTTTTCTTTGTTTGATGAGAATATTTTGAGTCCCACCCTGTGCTAGGTTCTGGGGACATAAAACCCAGTAGGACCTAGGTCCCAGCTCCGACAGAGTCCCCAGTCTAGGAAGTTAAGACACACAGGCTTCCCAGCAGAACATCCACATCGGCTGAACACAAGGTTCTCCGAGATTATTAATCACCATCTGCCTCTCTCAGCGCTTTGAAGCCACACATACGAGCCTGCCTGCTCTCTGTTCCCCTGTGGCCCAGCCCACTCCGGCACCCACCGGTCTCTCACAGCCCACTTCCTAACCAGGTCATCAGCAACCATCACCCGGGCGGAGACGCTGACACCAACGATGAGGAATGACATCTGGTTGTGACATTTCCCCAGCCACCTTCTACCTGAAGAGATGGCCTAGATTCCCCTTTCTTGTGAAGCGCTGCGTGCGGGGGAGGAGCTACTCTCTGAGGACCCTGTCCCTGTGCCCTTTGAGGGATGCAAGTGTTTATTCACCAAACCACTACCCCGTTTTCCATTTTCTTAGGGAGATACTATGGAACTTCAAGGAAGATTCAAGGAAATGGAAGTACAGACTGTCAAAGCCGGGAAAGGCCCTTAGTGATCATCTCACCCAAATTCTTCATTTTATAGGGGAGGAAACTGAGGCCCCAACAGGTGAAGTGGCAGAGCCAATGTTAGAAAGAACACTGTGGCTGAGCTGGGACGAGAACAGAGGTGGGAGAAGCGGGGAGACAGTAGTCATTTGAAATGTCAGGTGACACACTTTCATAATTTTATCCGTAAAGAAAACCTTCTTTCATTGCATTTTAGTTTAGAAAATAAAGTTTCAAACCCTGAGAATCCCTTAAGACTTTTTGTCCTGTGTAATCGACACACTCTCACTTTCAGATTTACCGGCAGAGTCCCTCCAACCAGGGACAGGAAAACGGCTTAACAAATTGTGGACCCACTGTGTGTTGGGGTACTTTTTTAGGCAGTTTTATCAGGCACAGTCCCTCTGAGTTGAGAGATCGTATAACCTGTCTCCAAAGTCCTGATCTTACCACAGTGTTGGCTCTTGCTGCCCCCACACCTGCCAGGCAGTTCCAATCAGCCATCTCATTGCTCAGGTAAGAAGCATCGTATGTAAAGTGACTGGCACAGTGTCTCCAGCACATAGTAGGCCCTCAGTAAAATAAAAGGCAATTCCCTCTGTCCTTTGCTTTCAGTATCAAGAGTGAATATATTTGAGTCATTTTTCTTATTTAGTAGTATTAGCTATACATTCATATACAATTTATGTATGATGTATTATAAGATACAAAAATGTGAATGCATGTGACTATATTTTTATTTATTTATTTTGGGAAGTGTTAAGAAGTCTGTCTGTATGTATCAGCCTTGCTTGTCAGTCATTTTGGCACAGGCATTTTCCTGCAAGAGGAAATATCGTTACAAGCTATCCTACACAGGGAAGTGGGGTGAGGAGTCCACTCTGCAGGGGTTTCTATCCCAGGAAGTTGTGGGGAAGCCCGTGCATAGCAGAGCCCAGGAGAGCAGCATCTCAGCCTGTCCCAGGAACCTCTTCCCCGTCTCCCAGGGGTTTGGGTCCACGTTCTGGACTTGCCGTTCTCTTTAAATCATTCATAGTGAGTCCACGAGAAATGTGTTTGAGGAATCAGGAGTCAGGAAAGCTACCGAGCCAGAGGGGTAGCTACACCGGGCAGGGCTGGGCAAGAGCCAGGTGAACTAATGCCACTAACGATTGTTTTAGATCTTCTCTTATATGCTCTAAAAACGGAATTTCTTTCTGCAGAAAGAAATAAGCTTTAATAGGCGCAAACCATGTGGTATCACCTGCCCACTTGAAACCTCTCAGTGGCTCCCTTTGACTCCGTGGATACGTCCGCTGACACCTCTGCTGACACCAGCCGCAGCACGACCCACCAGGCCCTCCTGCCCCTGCTGCCTCATCTCGCACCCCCTTCCATCAGCTCCTTACCCTGGGCAGGCTCCCTCCTCCCCTAGAGACCTTGTTCACGCTTCTCCCTCTGCCTGCAAAAGTCTTGCCTCCCTGCTCTATAATGAACTCCCACTCAACCTTGCAATCAAGCTGAACTTCCTCAGAGAAGTCTTTTCTGGTCTCCCCGACCAGCTACAATTTGCCTACCATAGGCCGTCAGGGCACCTGGCACCCCTTCTCCATAGCTGTGCGTCTTTACCTTTATTTGCTGGAGTGTTTGATCGCTTCTTCTTTCCCTCTGTTATAAACTCCAACACAGCGGAGATGGTGCCTGGAACAAAACAGATGTTCAACACCTATTTATGAGATGAATGGATGGAAATCAGACATAAAAGTTACTTCTAGATTTTCCAGACCGGTCAGGTTCATGAGGGCTGCTCAAGTTCCGGTCTCAGGCTCTCAGTCTCCTGAGGCCAGTGTAAGAGGGGGATCTCCGCTGTCGGGTGCCCGGAAGCGCCCCTGGGTATTCACCCTGGACGCCTGGAAAGCCTGGATTCCATCAGCTGCAGCTTCTCTTTGCATCATCTCTTCTACAGACACAGGCACAGCGCTCCCCACGGTCCTGGAGTCACAGGCAGATACTTCTCTTCTACTCTATCTCATGCCTCCAAATTTAGCCCCCTATTTCATTGGCATCTGATTTTTATTTCCCTGTTTTCAGCATGACATTTACTTCCTGAAGTCTACTTGGTGGTTGCAGAGGTGTATTCATTGAGTAATACGCTCATGATTTATGTACTTCTGTGTGTTTTATTTCAATTTAAAACTTTAAGAACATCTTTAAAAATTCTTAATAGCAGAGACAGACAGAGATGACACAGAGATGCAGAGAGATCCCAAAATATATATCATAAAGGGAAATAATGGGTTAAATAAATCATTGACTAGCGACACTATGGAAGTGTTGGAAATGGAAACAGACAACAAAAAGAACAAGACACACACAATTATAGGCACTCACCAAAACCGATGTTCAGTATTCACTTAGTAAATAAACAAGGTTTCACAGAACAATATCTATTGTGATCCTAGGTCACGAAAAAGGAAGTCTTTAAAATAGCGAATCGATTGAAATTTACTGGTGCATGTGTTTCTCCCTGCCTGTCCTTCAACCATCTCTCCCTGCCAAAGAAAATTATGTTCGTCTTTTAAGCTTTAGAATCCCTTCTGCCCTCTTTATACAAGACCAATAGCACGGGCTAGAGAGAGTTATGACATCCGGAGAGAAAAGGAGAGGTTTTTTGTTCCTGGGCCAGTGCCTGCGGAGTGGAGAACCCCAGGGATGTGTAGAGGCCGGAGGAAACTAACAAAGAGGCTGGAGAGACTCGGGCTGCACAACCAGGACCAGATCCGAGTCCGGTCGGGGAGGGCGGAGGAGGAGGAGGGAGAACGAGATAAAAGAAGCCACAGTTTCTGGATGTTAGAGAGCACGTGGGCGCGTTTCATGAGAGGCTCCTGGGCAGCCGTAGGATGTGGGAGAATTAATAGGAGGGAAAATGGGATCATTAGGAGTATGTTACAGGTTTTGAAATAGGCTCCCTACAGCATTTTTTAATACATCAATGCTGGTCTGGGCTTTTGGGGTGCCATTCTCCCAGAAACTAGGCCACGGAGGCCTCAGGAATCTTTTAGCTCTGTGTGGTTTATGTACAAGCAATATCTAGCCAAAGGTCTAAATGGTTATAAAACAAACTGAGTATGGTCATTGCTGGAAAAGGGTGTGGACCTGGAAGTCGAAAGGTACTTTTCATTTTTATCCATAAATACCTGGACTATTAAAGTTTTTACGTAGCTCATGCTCCTTACCTAATTTTTAAATAATGAATGTGAAAAAAAATTCCATGCTTATGTTAATTGCAGAGCAAGCAGCAGGCTGACCTCCTACAGTGCAGGTGCCACTTGGTACAAGAGAAGGTCCAGTTCTGGGCAAGGCCGCCTCCAACCCTGAGTGGGTGTCCGGCGATTAGGCTGCAGGTTTATGGGCTTTGGGTGGAGGGGTGGAGTATGATTTGTGGAGCTAAAGATGGTTTAGATGTTTCAAGGCAGCATAATAGTCCACATAATTTTCTGCAAGTGTCCCAGGGTGACTCAACAGAGATTGCTTAGAAACAAACATGAGATTCTCTGCTTTTATAAAAACATTCGTTTATGCATTTTCCAAATACATTGCCCCCTATGCTCAAGCACCAGGCCTTGTAGGGTTGCTCTGAACATCACTTATCCTTCTCCCATGTTTTAATGTGCGGGTTTGCAGTCTCTAGTCATACAAATCTAGTTTGAACCCTCCAGAGGTAGCAAAGCAATGGAGAAGGAAGCGCTGACGAGGAAGGGTGCCTGGCCCTGGGACTCAGACGCTTGTGCATGAGGCTGAGCTTCCTGTTGGAGACCGCTCACTCACTCCCTGGGCTGTCTCCCCAGGGCTGACATGGGGAATGTCTACCTGCTTCCGGCCAGTCCCAGCCTCTTCCCTCAGGTCTTTACTCTATGACATCGGAGGAGGAAACATAACCCGTAAGGTCCGCCATGGGCTCAAGCCACGCACGTAGCAGCAGGGACACATCTGGTTCTGCAGTCCCTGCACCAGCCAGGACGATGAGCTCCGAGTTCACGCAGCAACCACGCTGCCGTGAGGCCTCACCATAGCCAAGCCCGCTCCGCAGACTGACCAGAGGGCAAGAAAGAGCAGCCCTCCACCCCTAAATCTCCAGCCTGTGATTCTGCTAACTCGCGTAGGGAAGTTTATTCACAGCGTTCCGGGAGGCATAGGGATCCCGGGCTGCGATTGCACCAGATCGATATGCGTGTTCGTGCCCCTGCAGACCCTTCCTTTCGTTGAGAAGCAAGAGTTGGGAGGAGGGTGGATGAGCTTCTGATAGAAAAGCATAAATATGAACAAAATAAACAGACAGGAAGTCACTATGAATTGCTTTCAGAGCTTTATTCTTGCCAAAGCTTGGGAGTTGCGCTAACTCTGGCAGGCTGCCTTGAAAAAGAAGCAGAGCAGGGAGGTGAAGCGACGAGATTCAACACCGCTGGGAATACAGGGAGGGGAGCAGAGGCTGGTGAGCGTCCCGGGAGGTAGAGCAGGGCTGTCCTTCCGCACTTAGCAGCAGCAGTCATCCTCGTGGTCGCAGCACGCGGGACCTCGGGATCTCATGGGAATAATTCCCAAGCAGCAGCACCCAGAGCTGCCACACCCGGAGCTGCCGCACCCAGAAGCCTCACAGCAACCAGATGATCCTGAATTCCAGCCTTGGGGCCGTTGGACCCAGCGTCTCAGGGGGCTCACCCCGAAGGTCCGGGGAGCCAGGCAGCAGTAGCTGGTGGAACAGGGAGCAGAGCATGGATCAGGGACACCACACTGGGGCCCTGAGGCACTTGCAGGAGCCTGAACGTAGTAGGTCTGGCAGGGAGAAGGCGCCTGGACATAGCAGGTCTGGGTCTGGCAGGGGGCCGGGCACTTCACATAGGTCTTCTGGCATGGAGCTGGGCACTTCACATACGTCTGGCAGGGAGCTGGGCATTTCACGTAGGTCGTCTGGCACGGAGCTGGGCACGTCACAAAGGTCTGCAAAGGAGCTGCACATTTCACGTAGGTCTGAGTCTGGCACGGAGCCGGGCATTTCACGTAGGTTTGGGTTGAGCATGGAGCTGGGCATTTCACACAGGCTTCAGTCTGGCATGGAGCAGGACCTTTTGCAGAAGTACCTTTGGTGGTTTTCGCAGCCCCCAATCCCGAACCTTTCACACAAGATGGAGGGAACTGTACTTGCTTCTGCTGGTCATACATCTTTCCGTGGCTTTGCAAAGTCTGAAAAGAAAGGTCTTATCAGAACTAGGAAGGCTTCTCAGGAAACTTACAGCACCCCGTTCAGAAAGAATAGTTTAAAAGCAGAGGTCTTTTCGAGGAGGGCACAGGCACCCAGACCTGGCATTTAGGTGGACACAGAGCCAGGGATCCTGACCTGAGCTCTTGTGCCTCTACCTGGCTGTGTGCCTTTGCACAAGTCACCTCTGCCCAGTGGGTCTCCATTTCCAAAATGGAAAATGAAGGACTTGAAAGCGTGATTGATAACCTGTGTTTTTACCCAACTCTCCAGGCCTCCTCTCTTCTTCCTCACTTCCGTGTCTGCACGGTGAACTCTCCTTGGGAAATTGTTGTTTCCCAGCTGGCTTTTCCTCACCGCCAATCCTCCTAAGAATGGCTTCCCTTCTTCCCTCTGCTTGGCCAGCCAGGGTCTGGGGAAGGCAGATTTGTATCACCAGACCCTGAGCCAACCTGAGTCTCCAGCTGAGCCTGGCAGAGCCTGACAAGGCCAAATTTGAGTAAGGTTCAACCTTTTGCTCTTTGGATCAGCTGGACTGTCACCGCACCTCACTGATGGACCCAAGAGGGGACTGCACCTCTGCATCCAGAGACGGAGTGAGGGTGGTGCCCCAGTTTTCTGGAAAAAGCCCTCTCACACAGGACTGACAGCTTGGCCTCTCCTCTCACGCCCCAGGATCTGCGCATCCTACCAGCTGCTGCCACGACCTCAGTGTCTAGTCCTGACCACGCTCAACCCCCCGTTCTCCATGCCAGCGTCACCAAGCTTCTCTTTCTTGCTGTGTCACTACCCGAGGCATGGACTTACCCTCTTTGCTAATAGGAGCAGAGCTGGAAGAAGCCAGTGATCTGAGGAACTGGCAGCTGGGGACACCTTTTATAGAGCAGCAATGAGGCAATTTAATGGCATCTGAGGGAAGCAAGAGATCACGAGGAGAAGGGCTGGCACTGCATTGGTGAGATTCCTCCCAGTCTGCTCGGCTCTTCAGTCAGACGCAGGGCATGTCTCTGCCTGATGTTGAATTTTCCCAAACATGAGATAAAGATTCCTCCTGCATTTTCATGAAACAGATCAGTCTTCTTCTCCTAGAAGTTATGAGAGATGAGACGCCTAGGAAAGCTACCCCTGTGAAGCTATTTCTAGGTCACGTGAGTCTTTAAAGACTTGTCCAAGATGTGGTTAGTGTCTCAATTTTTCATGCATTGTACCAAAAGCTACACCGTCTCTTCCCACCTTTAACAGTGTGTTCTTTCTGAAGGCTCCCATGAGGTCTCCTGCTGGTCTGGGTTGCTGGGCACAAAGAGGTTGGTCTCAGCCTCAGTGTGGCAGCAACGCCCCCGAGAAATGACTTGTTCCGTGGACCAGCTGGTTGTTCTAAATTTCTTTGGGGAACTTCGGTACTTGATGATCCGAGATGCCAGCTCTTTATGTAAACTGTCTTTCCTCTCCTTCTCGTGCCCTGTGACCTCCCCATGCTCAGCCTTCTCGTGCCCTGTGACATCCCTAATCCTCACCATCCTGGACCTCACTACCAGGTCTGGATCCCCAAAGACCCAGCACAGGGGAATTCCAGCCAAATGAGCACCGTGGGATAAAAATAATGGTAGAATCTAACATTGAATTGAATGCTTTTTATGTGCCAAACAGTTCATGAGGCACATACATTGACAGACGGCCCTGTAACTGAGGCCCTGGAAGATTAAGGAATTTACCCATTGTCACAAATCAAGTAAATAGAGAAGCTGGAATTCAGATAGTCTTCATCACTCCAACGCGTTGCCTGTCATTTCTGGACACAGCACTGTCCCTGGGCCTCTGCCTCCTCTCCTCTCCCCAGGGCAGTCGATGTAGGAGAGATGGGGATCTATGTACTAAGCACTTATGTGCTTAATGTACTGAATGTACTGAATGCTGTATTGGATTCTTTACCTGTGTTATTTCATTTTATGTTTACAATAATCCTGTGAGGTAGGTTGTACTAGCCCTGTTTTTAAAGAAGAGAAAAACCAAGATCCAAAGGCCTACCCGTTTCACCAAGGTCAGGCCATTGGTAGTCAGCAGAGGATCATCTGGATCCAACCATGTCTAGTTTCAGAGCCCCCGCCCTTCCCACTGGGCTGTGCCGGGTTGCCCAATGCAGCAGGTTATCTGGATCCTGAGACTAGCGCTGATTCCAAACTGCCACTCCCCCAGACCATCCAGTGCAGACCCCGCCATGGGCTCTGTGGCCTCTCAGGTAAGAGGCACTCCTGCCTGTGTCCATAATGAATCCTCCATTCCCACTAGTTCGTGGACAGTTCCCTGCTCCAAGCCAGGTCTTGTCGGGTCTGCCCTGAACAATTTAGAGGAAGCAGGAAGGAGCTTGGAAAGTTTCCTGCTTCCTCCTTTCCTGTGTCTGGGGGACTTGTAACACTCCACAGCCTCCTCCGTGAAGCCCACCATGCCCCTTCTCCACGGGGAGGGATGTGGTTTTGGGACATTCCATTACCTGCTCTCCTATGTGTCCCACCTCAGTGGACACCCAGGCCTGATAGTTTATGAAGGGAAGAGGAAAGAGATGCTCTCTTGTTGGGGTCAGACACTTCACATGGGATAGCTCATCAAATTTAGTTCCTGCAATAGAGCGTCAAATAAAAACAAGCCAACTTGCCCAAGATCGCACAGCGAGCAGCAGAAGTTCCACTACTGCTCGTGCCGTCTGTGAGTCCTGACCAGCTCACCTCCTGCTCTGTGGGACCAGGCTCTCACTAATGGGTTTGACATCTTCAGGTCGCACTAACATCCCTGGTGAGAGATATTGCTTTCAGGTGCCACCACCACAGGTGGGTGGGTGGTGCCCCACCCATTTTATAGACTGGGGAGGCAAGACATGGACTTGTCAGGTGACAGATATAAGTGCCAAGGTGAGTCACAGGGCTCTCCCCAAAAGGCCCCATTTGTCTCTTTGGATACAAGCTCATAGAACCAGAGACTGTGGACTCACGTGATAACAGTCCAGTAGACTCACAGGGGAATAGGTGAAAAGAATCATGAATTCACAGAGTAACAGGATCACAGATTCAGAATCACGGCGTCTCTGAGGTGGAGGGAACTCAAACATGTCATGGGGTCTGGCCCGTGTCATAAGATGGGTCAACGCCTGTGTCGTCTGGCCAAGTGGGCTGTCCTTCTTAGGAAGACCTGTGGTCTTCAAAGCTCTCAGCAGTCCCTCTGGTTGGCTCCCTTCAGGGTTTGCCGTCTGCATGGTCGGGAACTGTATACCGGGTTACCTCTAAGGTCCCTCTCAGGACCAGCGTCCACGAATCCTGACAGCGACTGTGTATTCGAAGTTGTACTCCTGAGTGTGTGAACCAAATCCAGATTTTAACTCTGTGCTACTTGCCCAGCCCCGAACAGGAGATGAGAGGGGGAAGTACCCAAAATGACAGGTTGTTCCCTGAGGGCAGGGCCTGGTCTCCCCTCATCCTGGGAAATTTTCTTGATCTGGGGGTGCCCTGAGGGTGAAATCTGAGTCCTTCCTTTTCTGCGGAAAAGAGGAAGTGAGAAGCCACACACCCGAGATGGGGAGGGCACAGGGACCTTGGTGTCCAAACGAATTCTCACATCTTGGAGAAGACGGTGCAGGAACCCCGTCCCTTAGACCCCATCCATGTCTGTGTGTCTCTGTTCCCAACTCAGCTCTGAGATCTGCTGCACCATCATCCCAGTGACAGTTGGAGGTTCCTCCTAGATTATTAGGAGATTGTATTGTAGACTCACGGAATGGAGGGCGGGGTAAGACCTCAGCCCCTCTACTGTAACTGAGGCCCACAGAGAAAAGAAAAAAAAACAACTTGCTCAAGGCCATACAGCCAGGTAGGAGCAGATCCTGGACCGGAATTTCTGAATCCCATTCAGCTCACGTTCCATTTTAACACGCTGCCACCGAGCAGGCTTGCTAGGGAGGCTCACCTAGCCGCCTCCTTGCCTTCTTCCCAGGGCCCAGCCCCACCAAGACCACAAGAGGAGCCAGTGAAGGTCCTCTAAGGAGTGCCCTCCATGGAGCAGGAAGCGTCTTCCCATACGTGGGGAAGTGTCGCACAGGATTCCCACTGACGTTGAAGCATAAGAACCCCAGCCCAGCTGGGTCAGAGGCCCTTGGGCTGTGCCTTGGCCAAGGACACAGGGCAAGACAACACCAGAGCCATCTTGGTGGCAAGGCTAGGGAACTCTGGTGCCCTAATATTCCTCTTTCTACTGAAGTGGCCCCTGGGGTTGGTTTCCTTGAACTTCCACCCGTTCTTCCCTAATCCAGTTATTCTTATGTAACACACACAGGGTAACATGTCCCTCAGGTTTGCCTACTGCTTTGTAGAGCTATTTAATTGCATTTGGTCTTAAGGTCCTGAAATTTTCCATAGAAACTGCCTCATCTTGGCATTTCAAGGATACAGGGAGTTTCCATGTTCCCTTAATATATTCCTGAAGGTGGAAGCCACTGGCTCATTCTCTCTTGGATCCCTCCCTCCCAACCTTTCCATCCATCCTTCCAGTGCAAACAGCATGTGTTAGCCTTCATCCCGGCCCTTCCAAGACCTCCACACAAATGGCTAACTGCAATTCTATGAACATATGCCTTTTCTTGGCAGAGGAGCCCAGTTCTTGTCACAGCTCTGCCAGTTCCTAGTAGTGTGATCTTAGGTGATTTGCTAAACTTTCCTCTGTTTCACTTATCTGTGAAATGGAGGCATTAATAGTCAGATCGTGTCACTCTTCGGCTGAAAACATTGGAACGACTTCTCATTCTGTTCTTGGGAAAAGCCCACATCGGTCCTCGCGGTCACTTTCAGAGGGCTTCCCAGACCTGACCTCAGGGCTCCACATGCTCCTCCCCTGACTTCCTGGCCCACACTCTCCCCTTCCCTGCGCCCCCTGCCACGCTGGGCTCTTTGCAGTTTGTCTGACACTCTGGGCTTTGGGAACTTTGCTCTTGCTTTTCTCTCTGCCCCAAATGCTCTGACACTTCGGAGGTGGCTGACTTGCTCACCTCCTTTAGCTCTTGGTTCAAATGTGACTTCAGGGAAACCTTTGCTGGTGACCATGTTTAAGGCTATCATCCATACCTGCTGGTTCTCCCTGTCCCTCTTCCAAGTCTTATTTTTCTCCATAGAGTTTATAACCCATTGTGTATTTTATGTATGTGTGTATTTTCCACTTTCTTCCATCAAAACATAAACCCTACTGGGTAAGTACCTTCATCCCCTGCGTTCACTGCTCTATCACAGAGCCTCACTCAAGTGCACTCAGAACATAGCTGTTGGATGAGCAAATCGAATATTTTTTCTTATTCATTTTGTTGGTCATCTGTCTTCCCATCTTAGAATCTAAGTTCAATGAAGGAGAAATTTTTGTCTGTTTTGTTCACGTCTATATTAGATCTTAGAACTGCTCTTGGAACACAGTAGGCACTTAATAAATATCTTTTGAATAAACAGTCCAAGCAAATATTAATGTGAATTAAAGCACGCGCCTGACGTGTGAGCAAGCGCTAACTGGATGTTGGTTAGTTTTGCTGGCAGTGCCGTCTGCCGTCCCCCATCAGCCGTACGAGATGACCTCAGCTGCTATCAGCCCTGAGCCGAAAGACTGAAGGCAGAAGTGTAAGGCAAGAAATAGGGGTTTTCTTTTCATCCAAACGAATTGCATCCGAGAAAGGCTGTGACCCCATCATACCAGCTCCTGGCCATGCCAGCCACTGTCTTCCACACTTTCCCC